AAGGAAGGTAGGAAGAAAGGGAGGGAGGGAGAGAGGGAAGGGAGAGGAATATAACGATAATTTTATCTCCTGAGCTAAAGGTGACAACAAATTAGGATGAAAATGCAAAACTTCACATATTCATGGATTTGTGTGAACTTATGGATTAGCCTGGAACGTCATCTTTCAGTACAGCAAATGCTTAATTATTTGCGCAACTCAAGGCCACAGCTCGCCCTCCTTGGCCCCACTGTTCAGTACCAGCATCGCCGCGGGTCTCCCCACTGGTCTACGGGACGTTTAAGGGAGACTCTCTCACCTTGGTCATCTTCGTATCTCCAGAACTTAGCGTGGTGCTGGGAACTAGCAGGCCCCCAACAAGGGTAGGGAAAGGGAAGAAATTTTCCGGAGAGGTTTATTAACACTCAGTTTTCTTAACAGTAAAGAATTACTGGTCTTTTCAGCAGCCAAATAAAATAATAATGATTTAAGGTGATCTCAGCAAAATAATAATAATAATAAAACACTTAAATATAATATTACGCTATTACCTCCTTAAGTTTAATTGCAGACAATATCTTTTCCACGACAACATCCTGTGGCTGGCTCCAGATGGATGCAGCTCCGTCATTGGTAATATAGGCCTTACATGCGGATATCATCTGATTTGTCACCTGAAATTTTCCAATAACATGTCATTCATTACATAAAACAGCCACGGATTATAAATCAGCGTGGAAGGGCTTCAACTCTTCTACCTCTCAGAATTTCCTACCGGTGAATTTGAGCTTTGGATTTTAATTTCTCATCACAATTGGATCAAGCCCTGGCCCTTTAATAGTGGCAAAATCACCAGGAAAGTAAGAGTTGGGGCCATCCTCTTTATTCAGAATGAAGGTCTTTACCAACCAACAGACTCACTTCCCTGCCTAACAACTGAAGACGTGTTTCCCCACCTCCAAAGGTCCCTGCTCTCACGTCGAAGTCACAGATTACAAATAGCATGTAAAGTGCAGTTGACCTTAGTGTCTCACATGACCGTGACCTGCAGCGAAAATGTCAAAAGAAGATCACAGACAGACAAATAAAGCTAATTTATAAAACCACTAATATCTTATTCACCCCCTCAAAGCACTGAAAAAAGAACCTTCAAAACTGGCTTGAAGGGCTGGGGATTTAGCTCAGCGGCAAAGCGCCTGCCTGGCAAGTGCAAGGTTGTGAGTTCGGTTCCCGGTACCGGAGAAAAACCAAAAAAAAAAAAAAAAAAACTGGCTTGATTCTTTAAAAATATTGTAAAGACAAAATTAAATATTTGTACTGCATGCTTAAGATGATACAGTGTCTAGGGATAGCAAGGAAGGAAGGAAGGAAAAAAAATTATCCCAGGGCTGAGTCTGGGTGCCACACACAAGGGGGTTTAGTACACAGTTTTCTCCCTTTTGTAACTACTTCAAAACTCCTATGAAAAAAGACTTTTGGTAATTAAAGGAGTTAGACATGGCAGCTAACACCTGTAATCCCAGCACTTGGAAGGAGGAGGATGAACACAAGTTTGCGGCCAGCCTGAGCTACATAGTAGGTTCAAGGCCATCTTGCAATACATAGCAAAACCCTGTCTCAAAAAACTACCACCAACAACAACAATATAAATAATTAGTTACAGGGTATTTTCACAATTTAATCCTAAACCAAGTCTTGAAAATAATGCACGTGAAATTTAGATTAATGATGGAAACAGACTTTTGAGTCTCATTTACTCAGGGAACCTTCCCTCTGACCCTAATATGCAGTTTTAAAGGATGAGGAAGTTAGGAAGAATCTTGCAGGCAGGAGTCCTTTGTATATGGGCTACCTACAGGAGAGCAGAAGAAAAGCCTTCCCAGTAAGATGGGCTTTCTCTAATCCCCAGAAGAACTATGCCGCACGCCCCATGAGCATTTAGGACACAAGCTTTGATGACTCAAAAACTCTCCTATATTAATACAGAAATAAAACCGGAAATCCTTCCTTGATAAAGAAAGTCCTTTACTTCTTAGAGACTGTTCAAAAGAGGAATAGCAGGGTGCCTACCATGAATTGTCACCAGTCATAAGGTTTAAACATCATCACCCTTTTTAGCAGAGTCATTATAACTGTTTTATAGATTACTGGAACATTGCAAGTGGCTTTTATTACCATAATTACTGTTTAACCAACAACAAGTAAACAACCATAGCAACCAGTAAGTGTGGAAGAGTGGCATATAAAATATGAAACAGGAGACAGCCAGTCAAATACAATTTTTCTTAATTAAAATTCACCCACTAGGAATAAATGATGGGCTAAGTAACAAGGAAAGAGGTTCCAAAATGAATATTTTTGGTTTTATTTTGTAACAAAGTATTTATCATAATAATTACTTCTGAAATAATGGTTTATTTGCTAGAATTCACCTCTCACATTAATTTTATCTCTATTGATAGACTAAGCCTTATTTAAATTGTAAAATACACAGACACTGAATTGGGCCAATTTTTAATTGTCAAATTATGGGGTAATTTCTAACTATCAAAATATTGAGCACTGGCAATATAATATGTGACCATGGACTCCATACTAGGCACTTACCTTTACAAATAGAGACGTAACCCTCTCTGACGTGTTATAGTACTGAGAGATACTGTAGATCATTTTAATTGCACTTATAAGTGTAGGAATCGCATCAATCATGGATATCTGGAAGATACCACAAAAGCTTTCAGGAAAAAAATAACAGCAAAATTCTAATTAGAAAGTCTAATCATTCCATCTTTTGGCATTAGCTAATTTTTAATTTTATTCTACTTTGTTTTAAATTTTTTTATTAGTACAAGTTTGCAGTATTATAACGTCTACACTCTTCGTGTGGAGTTGGTTCACTACAGAACACATTTCATTTCCTCTATTCACCCCCTTTTCCTCACTTTCTTCCCCCTATCTCTTGATCCCCTCCCATCTGAGAAAGATCTGTCTCCCTACTTCCTATTCTCTATATTTTATTTTATTCTTTATTATAATTTTGGTTTCTCATGTAAGGACACTAAGCAATATTTAAGTTTGTGTGTCTGATTTATTTCACTTAACGTTATGGTTTCAAGATGCATCCATTCTCCTTCCAGTATATCTTCCCTTACAGCACAGGAGTACTCTGCTGTGTATAAACACCACATTTATTGATGAGTACAGGCCACTTCCAAGACTCTGCTATTATGAATTGTGCTGCTGTCAACATGGGTGTGCATGGATCACTGTAATATGCATCTTTAACTCTCTATAATGTCTAACTATTCTCAGTTAAAATTTGAGGTTTTTATTTAAATTTTTAACATCTAAGTTTTATATGGCTACATTAGCAACAACTTCATTTTTATAAGACATCAAATTTTATTTCAGTGCAAGAAAACAGTAGGTTGTTGCTGATGACAAGGAGATTCTGTTAACAATGAATTTTGTAATAAGTGAAAGCAAGCTCTTCCCAAAGCAAAAAGATTTTTTAAACACCGGCCAATGAGTTTTCCCACAGTTTGGGGGATGTAACCCAGGATGTCAACTGCAATATTTAATGGAAAGCATAATATGCAATATGACTTTAAAATGTAACATCTCACGAATACTTTCAATAGTAGATAAGGTGACAGAGAGTTAGAAATGAGTACAGAAGTAGTTACAGAGATGTGTGTTTTCTTGGAATATAAAAAAAGTGTCTGAAACCTTCCCAACAGACTGTCATATCTCTGAACCAAAACTCAACTCTCAGCTCAGCTAGTGCAGAAAGGACCACAGTAGCCTGAAGAAGCAGAACTCTTAACTCACAGGATCATTGCTGTACAGCGGGTCACAGCATTTCTCAAGAGTGTACAAATATTTGACATTGTCCTTTGCTTCATTAGCAGCATCAGTGATTCGAACATCCGTCTCCCGCCAAGTCTAAGCACAATAGAGGAAAGCAATTTTAATGCAATTCCTAACAGAGGAACCTTGCATGGAAGAGCTGCTAAGAGTCACCACCAGTCCCTGGGGCCTAACTTTCCATTTGCTCTGTGCATACTGCATGCAATTGAATCCCAGGAGGTGAGGGGCACTGCTATGCCGAGGAGCAATGTAAACTTTTAGGTAAATGTTTAGAGGCCTCTCCTCCAGACACTGTCTTGTAAAATCTATTCTCTTACTAGCACAGAGCACAGCAGGGTAGCACTGCCTATAAGCCCACACCTCCTCCCTCCTCTGGCTGCTGGACCCACTTGTGCATCTTAAACTCATTTTCTACCATCTCTATATTCTAACCTGATCTCCCTTTCCTTCATCCCTGCACTTCTATCCATCATCTCTGTAGCAATTTTCTATTAACTGCCAACCATTTACCAGGTCTGTACTTTGGGCTACAAACTTAGAAATGGAAGACATCCAAATAAAAGGAAATAAGAAAAGAATGAGACTTAAGAATTTCAAGGAGGATTAATGGCAGTGTATTTTTACTGTAATTTTTTTTAACTGAAATACCACATATTTTTATTATACCTCATATATGTTGTTTTGAGCTGCTAAGTTTTGGAGTAATTTGTTTTGTAGCATAAAACTAATATACCAGGACTAAAAAAATAAACATAGATGTGCTAAGTTTTCATTATTATTTCATCTAACTGGTCTAATTCATACATACATGTACACATACATACACATACATGTGTGTGTGCATGTGTGTATTTATCTTAATTACATGCCATACCTTCTGATAAAACATATATGTACATATACAACACCCAACAAATGTCTTTCATTCAAAGACATTTGAATATTAATATTCCAGACTATCCCAAATTATGTAAGAGCAATATTATCAATCTTAAAAGGTTTTCATGCAGGTAAAATAATGTGTGCCTAATTGTTCTATGAAATCATGCACAGAGAATTCTCACTCTCATTTATAAGGCACCACCAATGAAAGAGGTGACTACCTTCAAAAGCTTGGACCTGGCGGCAGCTAGTACAGCCAACACATCCCTCACATCAGGGCTTTTCAATTGATCCACGAGGTAGTTAAACTTGGAAAGTCTTTTCTTCCAGTGCTCCAGCTCTCCTCGGGGACCAACATCATCTGCCTCCTTCCGCAACTGATTGTTTTCAGCAAGCACCTGTAAATGCACAGAGAAAACATGAACCACTCAGTGGCACTTGAGACTGGAAAGTTATAGGTGAGCAACAAAAAGGTTGAAATAAAATATTACGCTATCTGAATCATGATATATTTTATGCATCAATAGCCTCTTATAATTTAACATGTGTCTCTTTTTTAAAGTTCAACAGAAATTAAATTGACTTGTTCTAACTGAAAAGTATTTATTTAATAAGCTTGAATGAGCTTTTGAAGGCCCTGAATTCAGAAAATTCCCACTCTTGTTCTTTTACTATATAACCTTGGAAAGTCCATGGCTCGAGATTAATTTAATTGTGCTTATTTTTCTGAGATAATGTTCACCTTCATTCAGAACTTCTCCCATAATATTTTTTTAAAAACTAAGTCTCAATCTCCCATGTGGAGAGCAGTATGACTTAGACAACTGTTAATACAGAGAAACCTCCTCAAAAAAAAAATTGCCAAAGCTTAGCCCTCTAGTTACATAAAGTCACCTACTTTCACCGCTTAGGATCTCACCCCTCTTAACTAACAACCATGAATGAAAGCCACACAGAACCTCTCATCTTTTGAAAGACACGTGGTAAGATACTCAGGCAATGAGAATATCATGATAAACCTTCTTCTACTGGCTAGCGAAGTAGCACAGCATCTGAAACTCATCTTAGGTTTCTGAAAATTACCTGTTCTGTCTGTTTGATCCACACTTTCATACAATCTTCTACTTTTTCCAAAATCTCAGGGTTACTAGCTAACATCAAGTAGTCCACAGGTTCCTTCAGGGTTTTCAGTTCCAATATGTCACATTTTTGAAGGTTTACCTAATTAAAGAGATGATTAAATAACAAGATGAGGTAGAAGCCAACCCAAAGTTCAGAGCCTCCCCTACTTGAAGAAAATGCTCCCTCCCATGTGGACATCTATCTCACTGTTTAAGTACCTCTCTTAGAGTATGAGGTGGAATCACATGAAAAAACTTTTTTGGGTGAGGGTGTCAACAGTTTCATTTTTAAGTCAAATGTCAGTTCAAGTCATCCTGTCCTGCTGAATGACATTTTCGCAACTCCCCAATATTACCTCTGTAGGTAAGCATACTGTTCCCTCCCAATATTCCAATGGGATCAGGATCCTCAACAGGACAGCACTGCATAGGAGCCATTTCTCCCCTCCACTCCCACAAGTGCCTCTTCTGGGCGCTGTCAACTTCCTGTTGTCTGCTCATCTTCTCTTCCTTCTCTCCCACTGCCAAACCTCACCTCTGAGTGTGCATCCACTACCCTCTGCCACACAGGTTGCAAATTACTTCCATTCAAGGATGCACATCAATGCAAGTATGCCAGGCTCTTGACTTTGCTCTCAAACATCTGACACGACTGAGGAAAATCCTACATCACTGCCAACATTTTTACAGAATGCTCAAAATGAATTAATCATTGCACGCTGCTTATATTTAAATTAAGTCACCATCACATCTTAAGGGGGCAATAAAATTCCCTATGAAACTTTTCAATATTTTCAGCATCCTGGAATTGAAATACATAAAGGAAGTATCACCCACTTACATATTTTATTCCTCACCCTCTGATCATTTTTAAAGGAACAATGTAATCATTCTTACCTTCTCCTTCAAACTCTCCTGTGCACCAGACAGGACACTCACAAAGCCTTCCAGAGAGTTCAGGAACTCCTGACGAATGCTAGGTGCATCCTGAAGACCCTCGAGCTCACCCCAGCCATGACTAGAGGCCCTGAGAGCGGGTATAAAGACGTCCGAAAGCAAACATCTCACACTATTTAGCAGGCCCCCATCTGCAGTATCTAACATGTTAAAGCTCACCTCCTGGAAAACAGTTAGGAGATTCTTTATTGTAAAAATTACCCTCAATTCCATCATAGCTACTAAGTCATTTCTAAATGTTTTTAATTAACCAGATACCTGGTGAAATTACCCAGTAAATTATTGCAGTGGTTAAGATTGTGTCAACTTGATTGGCTTGGGAGTCATCTAGAGGATTAGAAAAGCACAATCCTGAGTGTGTCTGTGTAAGCCATGGAGGAATGACCAGTTGGTCCCTTGCCACTTCCCCTCTGGTACTGTTCCCCCATTCTGCTTCCCAGCCACCATGAACTAAACAGCTTTGCTCCACAGGGCCTTTCAACAATGATGCTTCTGCTTTGGAGTCAGATGATCACTAACTAAATTCCCCAAAACTATGAGCCAAATTAAACCTTGCTCCACCATGTTGTATGTGACAGGTCCTATGTTTCAGTGACAGGAAAGCTAACACAGAAAATTCAAATCAGAGAAATTAGATTGTTGCTGTCTCTGAACCTGACCATCTTATTCAGAAGCTTCTGGAACTACTTTGCAGGAGATGCTCAGACAGGTTTAGAGAAGCAAGCTAGAGAAGACCTTGAGTGCTGCAAGCAGAAATTGACTGGCAATTGTGATTAGAGCTTAGAAGACCAGAATAGTGATAGGAATGCAGACAGTAAAGGCCAGGATCCTCAAGTTTCAATTAAGAATGAGGATCTTTTGGGAGTGGGACAAGAGGCTACACATGTTAACACTCTAGGGGAAAAAAAAATCTACATTTTGCCAATGAAACTTTGCAGGAGGCTGAATTTAAGGAGCTATAAGCTAATTGATCTGGCAGAGGAAATTTCAAGGCAACCCAACATTAAGGCTCTGTCATGGGTACTGCTGGCTATTTTCAGTCAAATTTATAGTAAGAATTGGAAGAACAAAGCAGAGCAGAAATTTTTGAGAAACTTGAACTTTGCCCCAGAAGAAACCATGTGTAAAGTTGGGGCCAAAGGAGGTATGGCTCCTGAAATTATTAGCACCATTAAAGCGTAACCAAGTGTTTTTGTGCAAGTACAAAAAGAAATACTCCTTCTAGGCACTTTAGGAATTAGCCATCCCCCACCCATCACAAGTTCAAATATGCAGAAGTGTAAGCCCTTCATTTGAGAAGCAAGCTCCTGGGCCTCCAGAGAAAGAGCTATGTGGGGTTGATTTCAATGACCTCAGGTATCCAGCCACTCAGAAGCTGCTGCTGCCAGAGTCCAAGGGGGCCTGCTCATGTTGGTGGCAGAGGTTGGCATGTCCACATGATGCTATTTTTACCAGTATATGGAATTTAGCAGCTGTGGAGTCAAAGAGACTTCTATCTAGACTTAAAAGAAAGTCTGGGGGACTAGGCAAGGAGTCCCTGAGAGGAAGTTCATGAGGCTGTGGGAAAGAAGTCAAAAGTGCCCCCAGGAAGTCAGAGATGCCAGGAACACAGCATGCTGAGGAAAGCCGAAGGCTATAAGCAAAGCCAACCCAAGAAAGAGCCACATGGGATGCAAGCAGAAAAGCTAAAAGGGTGGGACAGGCCAAACTCTCTGGAACTCACACCTCACCACCATGTGCCCTAAATAACAGATACAGAGATTCAAGACTTATGTTTGTCCTCCTGGGTTTTGCTTTTCCTTTGGTCTTATTCTTTTCTATCCCCTTATTCCTCCCTTCTTGAGAGGGAATGTTTACCTTGTGTCATTGTACCTTGGGATCATGTTTCTTGGTTTTTTATTTTTACAGAGGTTGACAGCTAAGAGTTTACATGGAGTCTCAGAAGACTTTGACTTGGGCTTTTGAAAACTGCTGGAACTCAGATTTTGAGGATGGGATTGTTGCATTCTTAGTTATACACAGAAATGTTGTAACATGCTAGGTGGAATTATTAACTTGTTACGTGTTTACTTGGAGATTAAATGTGATTTAAGGAGATGTGTTTGGGTGTCAAGTTGCCAAAGGGTATAATGTGGTAGTTAAGGTTCACTGCTTCAACTTATTGACTTGGGAGCCATCTAGGGGATTAGGACAGTACAATTCTGAGTGTGTCTGTGTGAGCCATGGAGGAATGACTTTAGACACTTGCCACTTCCTCTCTGGCACTGGTTCCCTGCTCTGCTCCCGGTCACCATGAACCAAGCAGCTTCGCTCCACAATGCCCTTCTGCTGTGATATTCCTGCCTTGGAGCCAGTTGACCATGGACTGAGACCTGGAAACTGTGGTCCAGATTAAACCTCTCTTCCTTTAAATTGTTGGTGTTTGGAATTGTGTCCCAGCAACAGGAAAACTAATGTAATCATTTTGATAACTTGATAAAATAGTAAGCTTTATACTACTTTAAATTGGAATCATCAAAACAAAAGAATGGAATAAATAGAAAATCAGATATTTACCAATTTATTTGCTCCCAGAAGACAATGTACCCATTAGGCATTTTATAAGGTATGGATGTACTTTATCTTGTTCAAAAAGTAAAATTATATGTCCACTATTAGAAATATCATTTTAACTGTATAAAACTTGCCACTAATAAAATTATATATGTGAAATTCTTCTTAAAAAGAAAGACTTTCATGATCATAGTATCTTCCCTGCCAGGGAATTTATAATAGCTAAATCACGGAAGCAACCTATACGCCCATCAACAGATGATTGGAGAAAGAAAATGTGGTATCTATACGCAACGGAATACTGCGCAGCTACAAAGCAGGAAATTTTTGGATCATTTACAGGAAAATAGATGCAATTTGAAGACAGTGTTAAACGAAATAAATCAGACATACAAACTTAAATGCCATATTGTTTCTCCCATATAAGAAATTCAAAGTATAAATAAAGAGCAAGATAAAAATTAAAAGGCAACAGGGAAATAGATCTTTTGCAAATGAGAAGGGGACCAAGAGAGGGAGGACAAGGGGAGGGGAAGTGAATGTGAAAGAGAATCAATATGTGTGATGTACCTGTACTGAACACCCACCATGAATGTAATCATTATTTGCTAAAAAACATGAAAACTGGGAAACAAGATCTAGAGGTGGAGGGAGGGAGGGGAGAAGGGCAAGAGGAATAAAAAGAACCAAGCTATGTTAAGTGCAGGTACCCACTCCCTAATATGAATAAAATATTACATACTAGAAACATGCACTAATTAAAAAAACTTTAAAAAGAGTCACTGTTCATACAGACATAATGTTATATCAATTTTTGTTAATAAATTGCATATTAAATCCTTTTTAAAGTATTTAAAGAAAATATCCTCTAAATTGCTTGTTTTAAATGTTTAAAAATATATTTCCTTGAAAGTAGTTTAAATAGTGTGATGAACACAATGATTGTCTCCACGAGGAGGGACATTTTGTGCAATCTATGTGATTCGGGGTAATTTACAGTAAATGACTGCTCCTGTCACTTACCCGGTGGATGTTTTCGGGTGTGATGGCCTTGGAAGAATCAACCCGAATGAAAAACACACAGACTCCCAAAAGAGCGACATCTTTTCCCTCAGTCACAAACACCTTAGGTTTTTTAACCTTTCCAGACACAAGAGTCACCCCTCCTGGTGCACCAACTTTTCCTACAAATGAAGAAGAATTTTAATTTCGCAAATGCTGTTCACAGGCCAAATGCTTCCCTCTCAGAATGAGGTTTCCTTGTTTAGACAGTATCATTGTTAGCTTGAGGTAGATCTACCACTCGGGTAATCCCTAGTCTGAGCCCTGAAGGGACATAAAGGGTGTGCTTGATTCCAGATCATAGGTTCACTTCAAAATAGTCACACTAAGGGAATAGGAAGAATAAGGGGACAGAAAGCACCAGTTAGCACTGCACTCAAGGATCTATCTTAGGTACCTGGCTGCATTAAAACTCACACCCGGAGGCAGCTGTGACCTGTCCAAGGTAGACAACAGGTGGCATAGCCAGGGTCAGAAACCAGTCTGACCACAAAACTCAAGCTGCCCTTACTCTATCACAGTGAGCACAGCTGGTTGGTCCTTCAGTACACTGCTGGGGTCAGGATCGTGTAGACAGGAGCACACAGTGATCAGTGGTTGAGCTCTAGAGGTAGACTTCCAGGGCTGTACCCTCAAGGTGCCTCCTGACTACACAGCCCTGCGCAAGCTACTTAATCTCTCTGCGCCTCTGTTTTCTCATCTGAAAAATGAGAATAATACTACAACACAGCATCTGGAATTGTGAGGTTTAAATGAGTTAAGATATGTACAATAAATGCCTTAGAAAAGTATATTTAAAAAGAAAAGCACATAAAAATACTGGCTCAGAAAGCATTATCATTAGGATTTGAAATTCTATTTTTGGCTGTCCAACCATTAGCTAGCTCATGGAGTGGATATTTAAGCACACAGAACATGTTCTGAGCTGTTCTGCTGACTTCTGTTCTGCCCAAGAAAGTTTTAGCTCTCCAAATTAATTACAGCTTAACCAAAATGACTAAAGTGGAAGGACAATGCTAACGGAGGAATCTAGGGGGCAAGAAGAAATGGAAATTGAATTCTGAGAACTAGAAACTCTTAGAGTAATTGTCCCTCAGGGTTTCTCCTCTTGTGGTGCTGGGCTGTAGACTTCTGTCTGTGACTTCAAGAGAAAACTTCCAATAAAGGTTACCAGAAGACCTATTGCTCATTCAGAGTTACATCTCCCTTCTATCTAATACCACCTGAGTCTCACAAGTAATAAGACATTAGACAAGGAGTTTCAACTGAGGCACAAAAATATGGCAGATATTAGACAACAAAGACAGTTTCAAGTCAAAAAAGAAAATGAGAAAACTCCTGTAGAAACATCAAAGTAGATGTCCAAAAACTGACTAACATCTCCCCTCCTCTGTCAGGAGACTGTAGGCTGAGAAGGATTTTGTGGAACAGTGATACTGTGACAAGGCAGGGGTATGAAGTACTTCTACCTTTTCCTCAGGTCAGAAAGAAGTGCCAGCTGTCCCTGCTGACCCAGAACTGGGCGGGGGGGATTCTGGGACACTGAACTCTCAGTACTAAACTAGGAAGATCTCAGGCAAGGTGCTACAGTTGTCACCTTAGTCATGAAATAAGGTTTTCGATGCAACAACATAATGAGCCTAATTTAGGTCTCCTACAGTTTGGGGATGAAATGGTCTGGGGTATGACATCTTTCCAGAAATCTAAAAGCACCTTGCTGCAAGGCACTGAGAGAAAGGGGCTGATCTGGGTGCTACCAACATATCCATAGATGGCAGGGACCAGAGACCTACATATATGAACAGAACAAAGCAGTGGCCCCACTGGGACCATCTTAAATAGTACCCATGAGGAATGCGGGAAGGAAGGTAGGACAGAGTAGGGTGGAGCGGCCAAAGCATAGAGGTAGATGGCCACGGCCATCATGAGAATGACAAACCACCATGGTGCATGCAGTCAGTGCTCCCAATGGAGGACCCTCCATGGTGGCCCTGAGGACAAGGGTCTGGGGAATGCGTGAGAGGCAGCCTACAACAGTGCCGCCCAGGAACAACTTCCTCCACCCTCGCCTCTTGTCTCTGCCCTGCCTCGGACCTGACACCGGCACACACCTGTTAACCCAGTGCAGACACAGGGGAAAGAAAGGCCTGAGGCAGCAGAGGCCCACAGGCTTCTCTTCCACCGCAGGTGGTAATCTTAGGAGTACCCGGATGTGGGTATAGGACTGCCTGAGGAATGGGATTGATTTAACTCGTGGTCAATTAGCTTTTCCCAACTGGACACTTATTTAATTACTTGCTTATTTTGAGGTGTTCAAGGCCCCTTAAGGGTTTAATTGCCCTGCAATATAAAGGCTGGAAACAATAACAAACAAAACACAATTCTTGATAAGTGAAGTAACAGTAATGTTGCCAACATCATTAGGCATCACTTTCTATTTTTGGACTGAGACAGTGTTTGCAAGTGGCCATAGGGATATTTGCTATCCAAGAAAGTGTGGGAAAGTTATGATCTGAATCCTAGTCCAAGGTCAGAAGAACGACCCCCACTGAGAAGGTCTGAAAGGACAGCAAAAAGCAGAACTAAACCTGCACTGTGTTTACAGCCCATGCAGCCCTCTTACTCCACGTGAATTCACACGTGACGGAGGGCTCCACTCTGCACACAGTTCGTGGACAAATTTAATGTTTTCTTTGAGCTCACATTTTGCAATCCGAGGTAGAAATTTAAAACTTTTTTTAAATTTTACTGCAAAACATAATGAATTTTTTGAGCACCAATATCAAATTGATAACTGGAGAAATATCAATCACTTAAGACTTGCAGGTGTTATTTCTTTAGTTGTTAACGATGCTTACTCATCCCATATATCAAAAAGTAACATTTTCCCTTTTTCAAAAGGACCATAAAAGGATTTATATAATATTTTGATAGAATCGTAACATATGTTTATGCCCACAGTTTGACCCTAAAAATTATATTAACCTAGGAACAAGCTAGTTAGATCTACACAAAGATTTGCAATTTTTAGGGGAAAATGCTAAATCTGTCATTCAGTATTACACATGTAAATCAGAATCAGTAGAAAGTAAACACAATGTGGTATTCCAATCAAAAATTCATGCTCTGCTTATTGGCAATAATTCCTGTGTTAAAAAGAGAAGCAGATGCCTGTTAGAAGTTTTAGGACATAATGACACAGAATGAGCTAACATAAGAAAAGGAATTTAGAAGTTCTTTGCCACGTTATGCTCCCCCACACCATATTTCCTTGGCCCCCAAAGCATAAGAAGCCTGGTTAGTTCTCTCCCTAGCTTTCTTCTTTGTGCTCCTTGGATAAATCTAATGCCGTGTCTGGATTCTGTCACATCAAATCTCAGTACCTGTTTCTGCTACCTCCACATCCTGATAGTAAAACATAAGGTGACGGAGACCTCCAGCAGTAAAAAGTTGATCAATTCGTTCAATCTAAGAGAAAGGAAAGGAAAGGTAATGACTTTGCTCTGAATTAGACATTGTGTTTAAATCTGCAGAACATCATAAAAAGGAAAATTATTAGCATCTTTCTGATGCAAACAGGACTGTATCTAATACATCCCATGTGGAAGGGGATATTTTATTCCAACATAAAAACCATGAAAGAGTAAGTGTCTCATCATAGGAAAGAGTAAATTCAAAGGAGTAGTTTAATCATAGAAATATTTGCTAATTCTGCATATTTGACTAGGGATTGTCCTCTCATTTCTACTAACTTCCTAAAGTTCTGAGCTATTTAAAACAAATATAAATATAGATGAGTGTTTCATTCTCAGCCAATTGCAAGACAGAAAGAACAAACCTTTCAAAACCGAGGCAACTGCTAGGCATGGTAGTACACACCTGTAATCTCAGCACTCAGGAGGCTGAGGCAAGAGGATCACCAAGAATTCAAGGACAGACTAGTCTGAACTATGTACTGAGACTCTATTTCAAAAAAAAAAAAAAGGCAACTCCTTAGAAATACTGAACTTAATATTTAAAACATATATGACCACAAGCCATGCTTTCCTTTTTTTTTTTTTTTTTTTTTTTTTTTAAAAGACTGTATTGGGATTTAACTATTTTCCAA